TAGGGGAGCTGACCTGCGCAGCTAGGGACATTGCCTGGAGGCCCCCGAGGTGAACCTGTGATGTGACTTAAGGCCTGTATGTTGGGGGGCTGCGTGGCTATGGGGGCCCCCCACCTGGGCTGCTGAACGAGCTCTCCCTGGCAGCCGCGCCCCCCTGCTCAATTGGGACTGGGCGAGGGGTGGGGGTTGGGGACAAAGCGGATGCACTAACGAGTGAGGTTCTGAGGCGGGATCCGGTCCCTCTTGCTCAGGGGGTCAAGGAGGTGGAGCTTCCAAACAGGACCACAGGATGGGAGGGGTGGAGGCAGAGGGCCCTCAACTTGGGGAGGGGGAGAGAAGGAGCTCAGTGCAGGAGCAGAACCCCTCCCCCAGGACAGGACAGCCCCCCCTGTTCCCACACTGTCCTGCCCCCAGACAGCTTCCAGACTGAGAACATTTGAGGCCCTCCCCTCGAGGGAACAAAGTCCCATCCTGCCCGCACTTGCCCACCCTTCACCTGGCGTCATGGAGCCCCCAGGCCTTGCACGTTCAACTGCCACCATCTTGAGGACCCTGGTACCACTGGGTCCCTAAAACATACACATACTGGCGAGCGCACAGTCAGCTCCTTAGCTGACCCACTAGCACAGAACAGGTCCAGTGCTGACTCTCCCAGTAGCAGTCCCCACTCCCGAGTCTCCTATGCCCCCTGGGGCCATCTGGGAAGCTGGTCAGCTGCCCTTGGTCTCTGGTGTGGGCAGGAGTCCAGGGAGATGCAGAGTCTGGGCAGCTGCTTGGGGCACTGGCCCAGCAGCTACCCAGAGCCCTGAATCTGGGCTGAAACCCCACCCATGGGTCACCTGACTCCTGGTCCTGAGTCTTTGTCCCAGGGCCACCAGGAGGGGTCATACAAATGGATCCTGAGGGTTGGCTTCCTCCTGGGTGACCCAGGTCCTGGGTTTGGGCATCTAGCTGCAGAGGCTGCCGACCCCACTGAAGGCCTGGGCTTCACTCCACTGGCTGTGACTTGTAGTTGGTAACCTCTTAGGGGCTCCCCGAAGATGGGGTCTGCCTGAGCGGAGACGCTAGTACAGAGTGTGCACAGCTGCATGAAGGTAGACTTGGCCTGGTTGGAAGGGCAGGCCTTCTCTGGGTGAGGGGACCAGGAGGAGACACAGAGAGGATAGGTGAACTTCCCCTTCAGGGGCTCAGAGGTGGAGTGTGGAAGCACCCGGAGATGGGTGGTGGTGGTCCACAGTTCTCGCGAAGAGTTGGGGTGCAGTGGTGGTCTGCCCCTGACTGAGGTGATGTCTGCAGGCAGACCTAGGATGCTCTCCCTGGTCCCCTCCCATAGGACAATCTCCCTATGGAATCATCTTGGCCAGGGCCCTCCACCAGCAGGGACACCCCCTTCTATCCAGGCTGCTGGCTAGGATTGCTTTGCCCTAAGGACAGCAAGGCCAGGGATGGCCCTCACCATATTCTGTAGCCGTCAGAGGCCAGGGAAGAATAGGGGTCCTATTATTCGACCACCTGGCCTCACCCTGGGTTCTCACTTCTGGTAAGGGAGGCATCACAGGCCTTGCCTACTACAGAAGGGAGGTCCTACAAGGGGGTTGTCTCACCAGAGAAACCACATTTTGGGGGGGTGCACTCACCCACATAGTGCACATATAACTTCCAGCACCAGCCATTGAGACTGCCCCACCCAGTGATATGACAGAGCAGAGGGCACTTGCCCAACTGGGGCCGGGGGTGGGAGGGTGGGAGGGTGGGGGTGGGCTTCAGTGGGAGACTCCTTCGCATGGGATCAGGGTCCCTGGAACCCCTTTTGCACAGCAGCAGGGGTTCTGGAGAGAGCCATGATCTCACACAGCCCCATGCTACCGCAGACAGTGAGAAGCTGGCCGGTGTGACTGAGAGCCGAGGCGTCCGAGCCGCGCTGTCCACACAGAGGGCCGAGGATTCCAGTGAGAGCCGGGAGGAGGAGCAGGCGGTGAGCAGCTGGCTTGGGTGCTGTGGACAGTAGGCAAGGGGCACGTCCCCACAGCCAGGCCACATTTCGTCTGTGTAGACTCCTACTCCTGCGTGTACGGGACACAGAGACGCTTGCAACCTGGCCGCCTAAGTGTGGGTGAACCGAGGTGTCGGGGAAGGCTACACTGGGTCCTGGTGTCTGCCTGGGGGACAGGTGCCTCGGAGGCAGGGCGAGGCTCCCAGGAGTGCAGGCTTTGGGCGTGTGGACATGTGAGCACACCTGGGGTTTCAGTGGAAAGGGTGTTTGTAAAGTGCAGCTCAGTGTGTCCGGGTGTAAAGCAAGTGTGGGTGCTTCTCTGTCCAGGTGTGTATACAAGGGCACCTGCCTGTGTGCTGTGGCCTGTGTCTCTGGATGGGTGTGAGTGTGCACGTGTGTACCCGCAGTGCTGGTAAGGGTGACATCCCCTGGCTCTCTCAGCTCCAACCCTGGTGCCCTTTCTTCCTGTAGGTGGAGGGTCAGGACCCAAACCTGCACTTTCCTGGGGGGCCACTGAACTTGACTCTTCATAATCCCCCATGGCGGGAGGAGGTGAGACTACCTGGGGCGATGGCGAGAGGGGGCAGCAGGGGTGGGGGTGGGGGCTGCAGCTGAAGCTAAGGCACGCCTCCCCACCCCACCCCCAGTACAAGGGCCAGGTGAACCTGCACGTGTTCGAGGACTGGTGTGGGGGTGCTGTGGGTCACCTGAGGAGGAATCTACACTTCCCGCTTTTCCCCCACGTGAGTGCGAGGGAGGGACGCGTGGCCGGTGGGTAGGACTGTGAAGGGGCTCTGGTGTCAGAGGGCACTGACCACCCCCTCTCCGCAGACTCGTACCACCGTAAAGAAGTTGGCTGTGTCTCCCAAGTGGAAAAATTATGGACTTCGGATTTTCGGCTTCATCCACCCGGCCAGAGATGGTGCGGGGGTGGGCATGCCCAGGTGGGGGTCTGAGAGGCTGAGGCCGCGTGCCCTGATCCTCTGTCCTGTGGCCTAGGAGACATCCAGTTTTCGGTGGCCTCAGACGACAACTCGGAGTTCTGGCTGAGCCCGGACGAGAGCCCCGC